ATGTTATACTTACAGGTATAGCAGCAGTTATAAGGCCCATTATGCTGACAGATAATTAAAAAAAGACAAAAGTAGTGATGGTATGGTTCACAAACCGTACAAACAAAATCTGTTATCCTGACTGCGGCTCTGATATCCAGGGTAATATACATTGTAAAAAGTTTATTATTTCATTTTTATTTAACAAATTTATATTTCTACACCATATCCTATCAGAAATTAAAGTGCAAGTTATGAATAAGTAAAAAGCTAATAATGCAAGACAGAATTAAAAAATTAGGTTGCAACTTTGATTGAATTTAAGGAGACGTCTGATCTTCCAGAGAGTCGTGTTTTACTTTGGGTTTACTGAGCTCTTCAAATTTGTTTTTAATTTTCGTTTGAACTGATTGAGCGAGTGATACACGCCATATAGCTTAGATGGTGGAAGAATGTTGTTCAGTTTTTCAACGCATACAAATCACTTGTTACTTTTCCTTTCAAAGATTCTAAGTGTTCCTTCCAGTTGAGATTATCGCCCAAAATAATGCCTAGAGATTTACTTTTTTACACGGTCTATTTCTGTTTCATCTAGTTTGAGAAGCTAGAGAGGCAATCAAATTTATTCTAGGTGGATAGCCGATAAGCATAAGCTTGGTCTTTTTAGGACTTTTTCTTATATTATTGATGCTCATCCACTCACAAATATTTTGTAGCTCCTCTTTCATCTTTCGGGTAAGCTCTTTCTTGTCTTCAGAGACAATTGTCGCGAGCGTATTATCAGCATACAAGCTTGCCTTATCAGCATACATTCTTCAAAAGCGCTAAGGTATATGATGAAGAGAAGGGGGCCTAGGCATGAGCCTTGGGGAATGCCACAGGTTACTCCAATAAGTTTTTGGAACATTGATTTTTGAGAATCAAAGTTATGAAGCCATTCATCCTTCATCGGTATTTCTACTAAAGACGCGATAGTTGAGTGTAGCTTAAAAAACGCATGCTGATTATTTATTAGCAGTTGTTTCTCTTTGAAATAGTCAATTAGCTGATGGTGAACTATCTTTTCCGGAATCTTCGTAATTATGGAAAGAAAAAACTAGGCCTGTAGTTATACATGTCCTGTATTGCACCTGACTCAAAGATTAGGGTCACCCTTCCAGATATCTGAGAAAATAGATGCAGTAGTTTGTTTCAATTAGTTTAATACATTAAAGGATCTCGTTGTCAACTGTACATAAATTGTTCTTTATTTTCATCATTGAATATTATTGAAAAACTATTTAGCTGGTTGTGGAACAACTTCAAAATTGCCGTTGAATTAATAATAATAATAATATTTCTCGCTAAATCTCCGTTTCGAAGCAGTTACTATACCACAAACACAGAATTGCCAGGAATTGGATATGGCTTTGGAGTGGTTAGCAAATCTTTGGCACGTTTGAACAAAACTGTTTGAGACTTCATTTAACTGTACGAGACTTCATTTAACTGTACGAGACTTTTTTGACTAGCTAAGAAACTTCCCTTAGAAACTTTTCAATAGTACAGTTGACATCCGCTATCTCGACTGCCCGCTATCTCGAACATTTGCTATTTCGAACCAATTTCTGTTTCCCTTGGTTTTGCTGTAGGGTTACGTATAGAAAAAACGTTCGCTTTCTCGACTACTCGCTGTTTCGAATATTCGTTATGTCGAACCGTTTTCTGTTTCCCCTCGACGAAAAGTGTTCGCTATCTCGAACTTTTTTGTTTTTGGTTATGTAAGAAAATTAAAAATACGAGTAAAGAATCTGTTTAAACGGCAGATGAAAGTTAACAGATAAAAAAAGTGCTATAATACAATTTAAATGTTCAAATCAATGGATCAAGGGGTAATCCCAAATTTAATGGCAAAGAACCGAACAATTTTGGTGCAGAAATGCATCAGAGCAATTGATCAATAAAAGTCTCTACAAAAAATTAGCATTTGGATGCAATGGATATATTAACCGCATCGTGGTCTATAGTATCTGAAACGACAATCGTTAACTGCTTTGCCAAAGCTGACCTTTCTTTTGAAAATCAACACCAGACAGCATCAGAGAAAGATGACCCTTTTAAAGACTTGGTGGAAGAATTGACGAAACTACGAAAAGGAGATCAAGAAATTGCTCTAGCCAACACAAGTGCAGAGGAATTTATTGACTGCGACGACCAAGTCTCAGCAAGAGCAGCATTGCCAAATGAAGATGAAATCATAGCTGAGCTAATTAGTGAAGAAGTTGAGAAGACAGCCAAGAGGACAGTCAAGAGGACAGTCAAGAAAGCAACGACAACCCTTTGACAAAGCCAACAACGGACGAAATAAGAGATGCGATGGAGGTAATATCAAGATATTGCCTATTCTCAGAGAATGGAGAAGTGCTCCGTGAGCATTTCGTTAAAAATATTGGGGTCATCCGATAACTCGAACATTCGCAATCTCGAAAATTTTTCGTTTCCCTTAAGAGTTCGAGATAGCGGATGTCAACTATAATGGTAATATGTGTAGAATGTTCAACAGTAGTTGCCAACAAGGGCTTGCCTGCTCTTGAAATTTTTTTTTCGAGTTTTCATTGGAAAAGTCATGAACGGGTAGAAACACTCATGGGCGAAAACAATACTTATAGTTGCTGGCAAATAAATGAAGTGATTTTTCAAAGATGACGAAGAGGCCCCTGTTTCTTTCACTAAAATTAAAGTAAAAAAGCAAATTCTGATATTCAATGAAAAAAATGCGCCGAAAAAGTCGTTGCCTTCTTTCAGCATACACGGTAATTTCTCGAGAAGAATTCCTCTTGAGCCGAAATTGAAGGTATTGGCAGGGATAGATTAGGCGAACGGGGGTAGGGGGTGCTACACCCCCCCAATATTTCTGTGACCTTTGGTAAATTTTGTTTCATTCGGTAAAAATCATCTTTTGGTAGTCAGTAGTAACGAATCCTTGAAAAAGCTGGGTTCTCAAATGCTTGTCGGGGATATTGCAAATTTTGCTCCAAGGAGAACCGACTAAGTTTGAAACTTTGAATACTGTTTATTTTTTTAGCTACTTTGGAAAATCAGTTTTTACACGAAGAGCTTGTTACATAATTCAGAATATAAAAGTTAGAGAAATTGTGAAAGAAATAGACAGTTGTAGAATAAGGCCAGTCAAAAAAAGCTACATATGATTGTTTTTGTGTTTGATTAGACACGTAAAAAAGCCATAGCTTTTCCAGACGCATTTACAAAATTGGGTGCTTTTCCAAATTCTTAAGGATGTGGTCTGCAAAACTTTTCTCCTCTTTGCCTCAAAAATCTTCCATACCTGGCTAAGCCACTCCTTTTTATCTTTTTTACCTTAAAGTTAAAACCAGATTTGAAAAATCGGCGTTCTAGAAAATACCAGCGATCTAAAGAGTGCGGCACCAAAATCCAATTAGTGTCTAGCACCCCCCCCAAAATCATGTTTGTTGCCCAAATCCGTCCCTGGGTATTGGGCAGCCATGTACCCCACCAATCAAACTGCCCCGCCCAGAACAATCGTGGTGATTTAATTGTGTAAGTATGAAATGAGGTTTTCCCTCTTTAAGGTACTCTATCCAGATTTTACTCGTTCATTCATACTGCTAATGAAAGTAAACTGGCGTAGAAACAAAGTGTGCTCCCACCAATAAAATTGTAGTAACATCGGCCTATACTGAATGCTGAACCTGCGAACGACTTTGTCTTTGATTACCGCTCGGACGAAGGGCTTAAATTAGGATAGGAACTCTTTGTTGTTTTAAAATAGGAATCTACAAACAAAAAAACAACGGGATATGAACAAATGAAACCGCTTATTAGTAACGCAAACATTCGTTCTTAAAACTCCCGAGTATTTTCTGACGAAGCTAGGCCGCTTTCCATAGTTCAACAAATACACGATCATGGAGCCAAGATGACATCTTAACAATATGACCTGTATTGAAAACAGGACTGTTTTCATATTTGACAATTCAATATAAAAGACTATGAACGGTTATTAATTTCGTGGAAAGAAGCTAGCAACCTTTACAAAGCGAACGGCATATTTATTATAAACTATTTCATTCCAAAAACAGTTTGGCTATTGTTTCAAAATATTGAGAGCAATGAAACTTTTGACTGATGAGAAGAAAACTATTATGTTGCTCTTTTTGAAAACACCAAACAAATGCAACAGTATAATGCTGAACATCAAAGGTCCACTCAAATCGCGATTTAAACAGCAAGGGTTATTGTTTATGGCAGAATCTCAGCAATATTCATGATTTGAAGCAAACTGCCTTCAATGGAAGTTAAAAATTCCTATAAACATATAGATTATTTCTTTGCTTGCCTTTTTTGGCATTTGAGGTATAGCAATCAAGCTCTCATCTTATTCATTTAATTTCACAGAGTTTTAGATTGATTGTTAGGTAACGGGAAGTAAATATAATGTATTAAGGAAACTAAAAGTTTAATTAATTCTTGTGTAAGACTAACGTTAGATAGAAATGAACTTGGGGTTTATATCATAGCTGAATTGCATAGCCATTTATTTAAATGTTGTTTCAAGTCCGTGGTGAAAAGCAAATATTTGGGGGTGGGGGTGGTTCTCAGACCACACCATCTCTGTGACATAACAGCGCTTTATGTTTTATTGATATCGCAATTTCATGCATCTTCGCTTCATCTCACCAACCCTCCCATCCTATAGCCACTGCACCACTGTTAAATTTACGATTGAAACCTACACCGACATACAAAGTTGTAAGACCGTAAAAATTTCGAGTTAATTTAATGTTATGTTTCTAAAACATTGCTCGGTAAACGGTCATCTCTAAGTCTCTATGTCTTAATAGGATGTGAATTCGATTTCTGTGCTCTAGATTCGCTAAGTCTTAATTACTGCAGCCGTATACATGGCTAGCAATCTTATTAAGCAACGTAAGACGACCAGGAGTTGGTCCGTGTTCCGCAATTTGTGGTCCGGAATTTATATAGCCGGGTATTTGTAGACTAGGAATGAACTCTCGCAATTCGCCTATCAAGTCTTTGTGGTGGTAGTAAAAGCGTATCGCTAGGATAAATGCTCGGTCTGGTGTCGTTAAATCTATTTGTACTTCAAGTCTGCTTTATAGGCGTTTGCTCTTAGATTATTGGTCGTATAAAGGAAAAGTCTATCTGGTTGGAAACAAGCATCGGGATTTGCGAATCGAAGGACTCTGTGAGTGCTTTCCTAACCAACTTGCTTTGCGTGCTTAAAGAGTGTTAATAAACAGATTTGATGCTATGATTCACATCACCGTAATAATATACTTTCCAATTCACAGGATTAAGATTAATGTGCAGTTAGCAATAATCTCTTTATTCTACAATATCAACTGAGCATTTTGTGTGAATTCAGGACAGTCTTGACAAAAGCTTATTGTTTCTGATACCTTTTGTGCATGGTTTATGTTCACTGAAAAGTGTGCTTTCTTTCTCTGTTCTTTAAATGTATAATATTTCAACATTCAAATATTACCGCGAAATGTGGGCTGGAACTTTATAAAGATTCCTTTCCGCGCTTGTTTCTTCGTGGAAACAATTTTGTTTAAACTTCCCTTTCAGTAAGTTGATATAAACTTTCTTATGCAAAAGCAGGTACTCTCTCTCTCTACGTACTAATGCTTATCTAAAAATATGATCAAGCACTGAAAAACAAGTTGTACGGGTCGTCTTTCAAAGATAAGTCAGTTAATGCCAGATAACAACAAGGCAATACTCACTTTGCAGCCACTTAATTGTCAACGTGCACTCGTTTTCACTAGAGTATGCGTTATAAAAATCGGCAACATATTTTTCTAAAGCAGAAGAAGCAAAATAGTTATAAATCGTTCAGTTTGATTTCCCTCATTCTAATTTTGTGCTTATTTTGAACCATTTTGAAAATGAATATCGAATATTTGGTGCTAAGGTGTGATTGCGGGTTCAATTTTATTGTGGTTGCGGGAACTGCTGTTGTAGATTTTGACAGTAATTTTGAAAGTGAGGACATACATGGGTTGGTAGCAGCAGTTATATTCAAGAAGAATCTTTGGGATCTTTTAAGAAAAGAACAAATTTCTGACACAAAATGTTTTTTAGGACAAAATGAGTCGACTGTTGTTTGAGTAAACTGCTTCCTGGCGTTAATTTGCTTCAAATTCAAAGGGCAAACAATTCTTTCTTTCCATATACTTCCTTTCCCCGACAACCTGTTTTAAAAATCATATCGATTCGTTGATTTAGTCAGCCACACTATGCTATAACACCAGAAACTAAAGCAGTTAATAGTATGCCTACAAAGCTACAAAGGATTCTACAATCTAGATTATCCGTATGCTTGGTATTACATTATTTTGTATAAGAACAAGTAAATTAAGTTCAGGCTGACTGTTCTTAATTTTTTCGAAAATCTGAGGCTGGATTGTCCTTAATTTTTTCGAAAATTGATAGGGTGCAAGCTGTGTGACTGCTAGCTTTTTCATTCAGGCCCTCATTTGCCAACAAAGTAAATAAGACAACCTTCATTTGCCGACAAGTTTGAATATTCACCGAAAAACACCCATACATGGCTAAAATCCTCACTTTTTTTATAAAACATTGTTCAAATTTACATTTTACAATAGCTCAGCCTCAGTATGCTCTTAATTTGTTCTTAACTTTGGCCAATTTTGAGGCTCGTGTTCTTATAAAATTGTTTTTATAAAAAAGAGTGTAGTATGCGACAACAAGATTATCGAAACAAGATCATTCATACTGGAGTTTCAGTGACTTTGTAATGTTTTTACTCGTCCACATTTCAAATGTCCATGAAAAAGAACAAGTTTAAATTAGTCCCATTTTTGCAGATACAAAGCATAGCGCAGACCTAAAAACATAATAACCGCTTGCTTCTCTTTTCAGATAACTCAAGGTTATAAAATTAGGTAATTGTATTGGGTCGAAGAATAGAAAATGCGAAATCTATATCAATAACCAGCGGTAACAAATATCAGCAATATGTAATTAAACATAGAGAAACATGGTAAATGAGATATGCGCATGCACAAAGAGACTTGATTAAAGATTTCGATTATGAAAATGCCTTTTCTCTGGGTTGGAGTCAAACACTGACTCAGTAGGCTTGAATAGAGCGATAACGAGGTTCTTTGGTATTTGTATTGACATGTGCAGCATAGACTCTCTTGGCAATTCAGCTGCTTATTAATTCCCAGCTTGAGCCTTCATGAACCTGTTGCAGTGGTATAATTTTAAAATACATCGTTGTTTAGCGACCAGTTCAATTCCGACGAGTTGCTGTAAATGAATATCCAATGGATTCAGGGCCAAAAGACAAGTGGGTTAAAGGCTATAGTAATTTGCGGTTTACTGGTCAACACATTTCCATTATCTTTGCTCGTGTTTTGATTAGATTATTGATGAAACACCGTTGCAGAAATTCAGGAATTTACATACTCGCAGGTCGGTGGTGGTCGGTAGGGGAGAGGGGGGCCTTTAGATTGATTTACAAAATGTACTTAAAACCAAACAAAAATGTTCAATTGCCTTGCTCTTGGTTTTTAGCATGTTTTAGACCCCTAAATCTGTAAGATGCTCCTTGCTTACCCCGAGGTGTAAGAAGTATTTTTGGCTTGAAAATCGACTTGTTGTGTTTTGTGACAAAACTTTTCTGCACGTGTGTTACGAAAGCAAAGATGTGCGACATTATGGTTGCAAATGGAAATGTAGAAGTTGATGTTTCCACCATTCTCTAGGCCCCCGACCGGTATCTCCAGGCACCTGACGGATGTCGTACTCCCTAGCCTAGAAATACAAGCTACCCCACTGGCCATGCTTTAACACGTAGCGGTGAATCATAAGAAAAAATGCATTATCCAGGAGCATTGCCGACTTTGTTTGCCCTTTCTCCTATTTATTGCACCACATCTGTGTAAATTTGTTGTCCAATTGGTTTAGCGTAGATTATCGATATTTTGATGGAGATTAATAAGCACCATGGTAGATATTGGTTGCATTTATTGATGCCTCTGGACTATGCAGACAAAATGGTCATCGCCTTATTCAATAAATTTCAGAACCTTAATGCCTACCGCGGACGGTTCTATGTCTCCTTACCAGTATAATGTATTACTAGAAACGAACCAAACTTGCATGAATACGTCTGTCAGATTAAACACACATATAATTATATTCAGTCATGTCATCAATTTTATAACCATTGGAAAGGCCTCCATTGTTTCGTTTAGCTATTATAAGAAGATGATGCTTTTAAGTTCTAGCATTTCTTTGAAACTAAGAAAGCAAAATAAAAAGCAGAAAATTTTTATTTCAATGATCACAGATTTAGGGAGTTATGAGTTATTGCTTCCTACATATTAGTTACATGTCAGCATAGAAACGGAAGAAAGAGCCCATGTTTTCTTTGTAAATGTACCACGAAGAGATGTGTTTTGTTTTGTTCACGAAGAGAAGTGATAGAAAAGGTAAAAGAAGAAAGAAAAGATGCAAATGAGTTGGTATGAGAGCTTCTTTTCATTGTAGCGACTATGTGATGAGATAATCTAGTTAACCACATCATAGTGACCACATAAGGCTTTTCGAAGGCCAAAGGCTTAAATCCAGTGTCGCGCAGTGAAGAAATGGCTTGTTGTCGTAGCCGTGAGTGCCAGGATTAACAAAAATCTCTCACAATTTGAACAAATCCCCTTTTGTGGCCGAGGATTTCATTCTGTCGCGTTCGCACATATTAATCGTTTTGTTTCCTGTAATCCTCAATTTTTTTGCATAATCCAACAAGATTTCTGTATTTGGATAAAACAAGGTTTTAAAATCGAAAGATCTATGTCACCTATCTCTCTTTAGATATGGCTACCCAATTTGGAGCAGGAGTTCCCCGCGCCTTCTTTCAGACAGCGTTTCAGGCAACTTGAATTACTGCGGCATTTTTATGAAAAGCAAATAAGAAATACCGATATTCTCAAGCTAAGCCTGAATTCCATTAAAAGCCTTGTGCAAACAAGCTTCCTATGAGACAGCATTATTCCAAGATCGTTACCTTTTGCTTTGTTGGTCAACCCAAAGTCCATTGAATCTCATTTTTGACGATATAAAAATCAAGCAAAATGCAGACGCCACTCTTGTTTAAAGCAGACAGTCTTGGTGAAATTTAGAAGAGGTATTTTCAGATAATTTTACCTTAACTTGTTTGTCTGCTGATGCGAGTCTAAAAAAGTAAAAACTGTGTGTTAATAGTCTACACCAAAGGCCAGTGATGAAGATCCAGGGCAAACAACGTAATGTTAACCCATCAAGTCTTTCCGAACTTCGATCAAGATATTCAAAACCAGCGCCCCAAAAAGCATTTCCCATTCTACAACATATTGCTGCTTCAAAATTTTGTCATTGAAAAGAAGATTGAGGCGTTTTTTCCAAGTCATGGAACGATAAGTTTACGTTTCTCTCTTTTGTGTTTCAGTCGAATCTGATAATAGCACACTTTCTGGGGTCTTCAACTATGTAAATCGGGATTTCAGAATCCCTTTAACTGACGATAGCCTTTACAAACTTCTATTGCTTTCTCGACATTCCACAAGGGCTTTTACTTCTGTTGTTACGTAAGACTAGCGCCCGGCGGGCTCTGCCAGTTGGTACAATTTTTATCATGTATGTCCCTGAAAGTAACAGCCGGACTTTAATCTTTGATTCTGCGTTGCATAATATGTACCCTATTCTATGACTTTACCAAAATTTTGTAACCCTTTTCACTGAGAAAATTCAAGCTTGAGCAGATATTTTTGAAACCGATACATGTAAGAACCATTCTATTTCTTAAACTTATATCTAAAGGCGTACAGGAACGAGTGGTTACTATTTATAGGAACGCTGGATGATGGTCTTCCTATATTTAAATATGATGTTACGAAGTTTTTGTAACTATGTGCTGTCGTTTTTATGATCTTGTTTAACGTGCAGAAAACACGGAGCCAGCAAGAGGCGATGTTATGTGACCTTTGCATCTTGATGAGTTTACTGACTCCGTGTTTTCTGCTCGTTAAACAAGATCATAAAAACGACAGACTAGCGAAAAATTCCTGGAAAAAAACAGGATCCTTTTTTATCCTAAAAATATTTTTAGAAATCGAAAATACATTTTATAAAGTATTTTCAAATAAAAGTTAAATTTGCGGAAGGGTGATAATAATAATTTGATAAATAATAGCATTCCGGATTGGCCAAGACTATGAATTTCCGTTCTCCGTCCAGACAAGATGATGTTACGATATTGTCTTTCAGGTGTTAAGTTCTCAGAAAAATAATGATTGATGGATTAGGCCTTGATCACACGACTCTTTCCTTTTAGGTTGAGGTTACCTAGCGTCATATTGGTAGCAATCTCAACGCAATTTCGGCAGGTAAATGGTTTTCTTCAGTCCTACCAAGCTTGTTAATATGCAAGCCTTTCATTCAAGAAAAGGATGACACCAAAGAGGCTAAACGACGTTTTCCCGAAGGAGACAGTGGTGGGTTTTAATTGTTCTTCATTTTGTTTCAACATACAATCAAAGCGGACTTTATCCACTCAAAAAAGATGAACTTGTTTGGAAAAAGCAGCTCTTAAGACAAGAAGCAAAACCCTGCTTGATTGGAAACTTTCGATTCTTTTTACTGGCGCAACTATGTTATTGTGCAAGAATTTTCGGAGATAATTAGAGTAGCAAAACGACTCTCAGAAGGCGATGGATTTGTTAGGGCATGCAATGCTTGCTTTTTCACTTCCTTTCGTGAATTTTAAAAACATTGTGCAACATTTACCTCAGCAAACTTTCATGACAGATTATGTGTTCTTTTAAATCAATCAGGTTTCTTGGTATTATTGTAATGCAAATTCATTTAGCTTTGACGAAACAAATAAATGCATTGCATCTCCGATAATGGCGCCTCTCAATGTTTTGTTTTGATTGCAGGTTAAACATGGCTACATTTGCTTTGAAAGTATCCGTAGATGGGGTTAGATATGCTATACAAGGCGTGAGCAAAGAAACCTCTAGGAAGGAGATATTGTGCACAGTCGCCAAGTTTAAGACAGCCGACCAGCTAGCAGATCTTCAAGTGGCCTTGGCCAAGTTAGACAGCACTATAACATTGGTGAAGTTCCAGAAGGCAAAGGAAAACACACGCGAGGAGAAACGTGGCTACACGAAAAGGTCAAAAAAGGCAACCGCATCATCCCAGCAAATATCTACCAGTGAATATGACCAACCAACTCACCTTTGTAGGAGAACAACAGCATGTAGTCAATCGTTTAACGATAAAATCAGTAAATCGAAAAAGCAAACAAAAATCGAAAGACCACGATCATTCGCCGCATTTGACGCAGACAAAAAAATAACGTGGAATGAATTAAAAAAATATTTGAGTGTTCCATTTGAGGAAAAAAGTCCTAAATCAGAAAACTTCGATGAAAGAGGAGCTCGTGATGATTCAGACTTAGAAGTAGCCAAGGCGAGTAGCAGGAAATTGAGGAATCTAAGAAAGAAAATTGTTTTAGACGATGCAGACGGGACATCAGTGTTTACAATTAAGAGAAAGGCTGAGAAAGAAAGCCGGAAGATTCGGAATAAACTGAAAAATGATAAATTGCAAAATCGGTTTGCCATCATGAAAGAAAATCTAACAACTTATTTTATTGACAATCAAAATTTGATTGAAGCAAAAATTTGCAAGAATAGGGACTTCAATAACAATTTAAATGCTGAAGTAGCAAATCAGCAAGACTGTTGTGAAGTAAGTGGGGGGAAGCAGGCTGACGAAGATTTTGCAGAAGGAGAGACGGACAGCGGCTTACCGTCCATAGACTGCGAAACATCTTCCCTGGACACAATATCACGGGACGAGTTAGTTAGTCTCGAGCAAAATGAAACGGATAGAAATCAAAGCGAGCAGCAGGATGATTCAGGTTTTGACTGTAACAGCATCAATGACGTGATAGCCAGGCCGAACTTTTGTAGCTGCACTACGTTGCAAGATGCAGACAATTCGTCGAATGTGAGCGGAAGCAGATTACGAGAAGAAGAGAAGGAAGAAGTCAGTGCGAGTAGCCTTAAGCAAGAGGATGATGCTGAAGATCCTCTCGATGACATGGGACAATACTTTATTGAAAGAATTTTGTTAATGCTCGATCAAATTTCGAAAATAGATGAAGAGCTATTACACAAAGAGCTTCTTATTTCACAACTTGAATTTCAAACTCGCATTGTCTCTGAAGACTTTGACCAAGCTGAAGATTATGAATTTGAAAGCGACGAAGAGAAATTGATAACCGACCTTGAGGAAACTGAAAAATTTTTGACTGCTATCACAAACTTGCATTATTACCAAAATGCAGCTGAAAGAGAAATGATCTCGGAACTATCGAGTTTAGAGGCAGCCATAAAAGAGAAGAAGCTGAAATTGCAGTCTTTGGAAAAAAGACTGTTGCGGCGCGAACTGAAATGGTTTCCAAAGCATTTGAATGTTTCTGATGAAAAACGTCGCATTATTACAAACATGTATCTGAAGGAGGAAGTCATAGAAACTTGCAATATGGTTGGCGATCAGGCTATCAGTCTAGTTTGATAATCTTGTAATTTATTATCAGAATCTTCTATTTACGCAAGCAACACAAGTATTAACACTTTATCAATTGTCTTTATCACATGTAAATATTATTTTTGATAGAAATTTTAATAAAAACAAAGGTATTCCATAATCTAACGAATGCAAACGTTGTGCTGTATAAAGGTTTTTAACATTTATTTAATCGTAAAATGCTCATCTTTTGTTGAAATGTTCAAATTCTAGCCACTCTAGGCCAAGTCTGGTCTTTCTTGCTGTGTTGTTATTCAAGAGGAGCTTTTGCTGGCTTTTTCAGTTTTGATCCAAATTCAATGAATAATAATAATAATGAGAATAGTATGTTCCCGTCTCAATCAAAATCAAACACGCCAATTGCTGAAATTTCAGGCAATGTTACCCTTCGACTCAGTGAAATAAAACAAATCAATTTTGGCTGAAATTCAATTGAGACGTTCTATCAGGTCAGACGTTCTATCATGACACAGCGTTACCTTTTCAATATTCTTGGAATAAAGAAGTATTTGTAACTGTGAGTCGTGAAGTCATAGAAATTTCCATTCAGTTCAGACGCACGAGTGATTTCTCTGTCCAATAATTCTAACGGCATTTAATGAAATCTCACTTTAATGCAAGTGCAATAAATTCTACTTTCTTATGCAAAAATATTAATGTATAATACTTTTGCTGCTGAGAGAAAAGATCGAACTGAACTGATGCTAACGAGAAAGTTACATTCAGCGAGCTTTTCTTGTCATCTGCATCTACTCAATCAGATTCTTTGCCAGCAGTCATTTATGCAAAAACGATTTCACTCAAAAAGATAAATGCTTTAATGAACTAAACAAAAACATAGCAGTGATTAGGTACTGCTTTGGCTAGAACAGTAGACAAGTTCAAATCATACTTGATACATTATTCCTCATTTGCATTCACTTTAAACCTTCAAATGCGAACTTTACCAGTGAAAACATTTATTTGTTAGGGATTTTTCTTTTTTTTGCGTGACTTTTTCGCAGTTGACGAGGTGCAGATTGGATTCTTTTTACGAAAACAAATTCTTGTAAATTTCCTAGAATTGACTTTCGTTCTTTTAAGATTGTATCCAGTCTGATAAGTTCCTTTCTATTCTCGAGTAGCTCTTTTCCTTGTCTTCTTGACAATAAAGTTATTTCTTTGAGATTCTTTTTAAATCCTATTATTTCTTGGATAATCATTTGCTCGTCGTACTCCAATGTGTCGTTATCAACCAGGTTCTCTTGCATCTCAATTTGGGTTATTTCCATTGTCAGCTGCTCATACAGTAAGTCAAAATAAAGAAGCCTTTCAGAAATCTCAACAATGCTTTGGCACACTGAAATGTATCTGTCCCAAATGTTTTTTCTTTCTGTGTCCTCTGATAAATTGTGACCAAATTCATCATTTCCTTCACATTCATGTTCAACATTTAGCATACCTTCTGATTTATGCTCCATAGACAATGGTCTGTTTCCGATTTCGTTGTTATTTTCATCCCAGCCATTTACTTTAGTACATATAATCGAAGACCCCTGAAACCTATTCAGCTGCTTCTCTATGTCCGTATCCAGCTCCTCCTTCGTTTTCAAATCATTTCCAGGTGGAACAGCTCCTGGTAGTCCCTTTGCTACCTCTAATATTTTAGTAATTTCTTGCATTGAGCCTTTTTTGCTTCTGTCGTGTGCTGCTGATCCCTTTTTAATGTTTTCTTCCTTTTCACAAAATTGATGTTCCCTTTTCCCTATTTCCTTGTCTCCACATTCTGACTTCGGTGTCTCTAGGATTGGCTTCCTCTCTTCAGATCTCATGTAAAGATTCTCTACTAACTGGTTTATTTCTTCTAATGCAATATCTTTCCTCATAGGGCGCTGAGCATCAACTTCATTACCTGAAACCCGACAGTCTTCTATGAGACTATCACTATTTGCAAGGTACAACTCTTTCAAACCAACAGAGGTTCTAACGTTTCTTGACCAAGCTTGTCCCACATTTAGTTCTGTTTTCACAGATTCTGGTTTTAATGTCGTATGCTGTTTGGTATTTCCATGGCATCCCTGGCATCTCGTGCTCTGTCTTTCTTCTTCAGCGGCACTTTCGCTTTTGAAAACTTCAATGTCATTTTTCAATCCTGCCACGGTCACGTCCAATTTTCCATGATCTCCTGGTTTTTGCAAGCAAACTGTTGGATTTGCTATAGTTTTCAATTTTGATTCAAGTTTAAAACTATTGCTGTTAGTGGAAATATCTTCTCTTCGTTTACTTTTAGATGCACGAATGCTTTTCTTTCCTGACACGATGTGCCTCTCAACTTGTTCTTCTACTGTGCATTCCTTTTTCAAATGTTCTTTTGTGTTTGTGATTTCTGTAGAATTACAGATCGTTTTAATTCCCTTGTCGAGATCTTGTTTTTGGCAATACAAAACAGTTTTCTGCGTCTTCTCTATTTCCTCTTTGCCATCTTTATTGCAAATGCCATGGAAAGTCAGAAAAAGATTATGATAAAAACTTTGTAAATATTCCCCATCACTTTTAGGCTTTATGTCATTATTTCGGCCTCTTCGATGTCCGCAAGAACTTAGCTCTGTTTTTGCTTGGCCGCCAAAAGTCAACTGTTTTCGGGGAGTGGTTGAACTTTGTTCATGCACACGGTGCATGCAAGGACATACATATCTTGATTCTTGCGTGAGGTTCCTGTTTATCTGAAATGCTTCACAAGATGAAAGCTTCATTTTCTTGTCAGCAGTCCGTTGTTCCGCCCGAATTTCATCCTTTGGCAATTGATCTTCCGATTCTAAGGACGGAACTCCACTGTCTTTATCATCTGGAACAACTTCTTCTGTTGACTGGTTCGAGCGTCTCGACTGGTTTGCCTCACATTGAAAAGATGCTATACATTTTGAAGGTCCATCACACTCAGTATCTTTGATGACATTTTCACTAAAAGCTCTTTTAAGAGATGTTTCATCGATAGCATATATTGATATTTTGTCAAAATGACTTAATTGTTCTCCAAATTGATTTTTTGATGCGGTCTTTTGAAGTAAACTCATATAAGCAGTTTTTGTATGATTAGGCATAATTTTGTCGAGTCCATCTTTCAATCTAGCTGCCATCAAACATTTCATCTTTGTACGCCGTTGATGAAAGGTTTCTGTATCCGAATCTTCAATTGTGTATTCTTTATCAGCCTCTCGATTTCGTTTTTCTTGTTTTCGCTTCTTGACATTCTTCTTACAGCTCGCCCCACCTTGACTAGTTTTGGTCAAGCTGAGAGCAGCATTTGCCATTTTCCTTTTGTTTTTCTTCAACATGTCTCTGTTACACGATGACTGGAGTCTTGTCTTCTTTGCCTTCACTTTCACTATTTCAACTGACTGGTCATCGTTCATGTCTGTTTCAGAGTCATTTTTCTTAGCAATCGTGCAAAGAATATCTTTATAGGATCTTTCATTTTTTGTTCCGGTGATAATGTAGTTGGTACCATTCACGTGAAGATGGAAACGCCCGTTTGCCATGCTCAGCTATAAATAAGAAAATGGGAGGTACTGCAGGAGAACTGCAAGAACTGAACTAGAGAACTGCGAGAAATTTATGTCATTATAAAATGTTCAGAATATATCAGATAGAACATGAAATCGAGATTTTAAAAGAATTTTTGTGCTGAGATTGTTGCCAAAATATTTTATCGAGCTGCAAGACACAAGAATGCTAGAGAAAAGACTACACATTGAATGGGGGGGGGGGGGGGGGGGGTTTGAGACTGATTATGCCACATTTTCAGTCCTTATGCTGCTAGATGAAAAACATGAAACGAGACCCCGTTTCCTAGCTGCTGCAAGAACGTATTCTGTCTTTAATGGACTTATAAATGTATAGCAATCATTATTTGCACCTTCCTAGCTAGATTCTCTTGCTCAAACTTATGCCAGCATAAATATTTCAAATGCCAAAGTTAAATGCAACATTGTGTTAGACACATCTTAAATGCTGTTCTGGTAGGGCCTTCATATCTTCTCTGGCTTTAGTAGAATCGTCTCGTTTACACTTATAAAACGAACTGCATTTACTGCTGTTTCTGAAAATACAGCAAATGTTGTCTCAAATAAGGCTTATTACAGAATCACAGAAATATATTGCAATGGATTTGGTTGTCATGTTTATAAATATATTGTGAAAAAATTTCTTGTATCTAGGCAGTCATTCAAATTGTCGACAAACGGAATCATAGCAATAGACTGGTTACCATGCGTAAGGAGGTCCGTCTGAATGTTGGTACGAAGAGCGTAAACTGTGAAATTTATTTTCAGTAATAAAAAACTCATTATCAATCAGAATAATTATTTACGGAAGCCTTTTGTTTTCTTTCGTTATTTAAAGTTGGTACAATTTCTAGCTATGCATACTCAAGCTACTTAAAACCAACTAATTTGAATTACCAACGCTATATATCACGTAAATCCAATGTAACCGATGTTGCTAACGTATTCCTTGCAAAGATTACAAGTACAATTGAACTATGTAAACACTGAGATGTTTTTCTTGATTATTTGTAAAGTAGGGAAGTACTTTATTTCGTTTGGAACTGAATTCTATATTTGGCTACATCAGTATGATACGGAATTAAATCCATATATTTTGTAATGTGGCTCCGCTGTTTTGATCTAGGAGTTTCTAAAGTAATATGGGCATTCATTTATGGAAAATATTTTATCCATAAAAAGTGGATTCAAACCGTTAAATGTTTGGGGATGAAATGGGAGCATTGAAAATCTTTACATGACATTCTCTAGTGCTTTTAATGAAAAGAGCTTCTAGGCAGCCAAGAAGCATTTTCAATAAACAAGGCAAAAAACAGATTAATGACATCTCCTTAGAAAATGCTTAAAAGTAGAATCTTATAAATCCATTTATAGTGTGCACAGCCGTGAATCTCCACTAAAACGTTTTTTCAAAAAGAAAGCAAAATATTTCTAACCTTGTTACTTTAATATCACTAACATCAATTGACTTCTTGACATTTCTCTTTGCCACTAGCTAAACAAGATCCTTTGTAACTCAAAAGCGTATTAAAAATTTGTTTGAGTTTCTTTCTGATTGTTTGTCCTGATGATCAAAGATGTTTATTTGATATCAAGACAAACATCGTCTCAAGGAATTCTTCGTATTCCAACCATTTGTAGCATAGAAGGCCATCCACCAGGCTATCAACAATGCAACCATTGCGACTCTCTGTTTGATGGCATTCTTTGAAACAATCAATTCGAATATTCTTCGCAAAGCAAATGCTCCATTGAATTGCGAAATATTTACTTAAATATTGCGAACTGGGAGGGGGTGTGGGGGGCTGTGGGGGGCTGTGTATAATTTACCTTTGACAAACGGAAATTCCGAGCCCTTCATCCCCCCCCCCTCAAATATCTGCCAATTTACGTCTTTGAGTTGAAGCGATGAAATTCTAATTTCCCCCATGATATAGTTAGGCATCATTGATTAGAGTTATTAGATAGAAAACATACACTATTCTCTATAAACTATTATGGATCTACCACGCCCTTCTTTTTTGTCTCGCATCGAATCAGCAACGGAACCTCATATTGAACTTCATCTGAGTTAATCGAAATTGAGGCGGGAAAATATTTTGTGGTTCGTTGAAACGATGGAAGTACGGGCAGAGGGTTATACAAAGATCTTGCCACTTGTTCAATCACTGTGTCCGTGTAGAAAGGTGCAGATTGAAAAGCTGGTTGGTCTTTTTGGCGAAAAGGATGAAATAGCCTATCCCGCAATTTTTGTTTATGGACACACAGGAACTGGGAAAAGTCATGTTCTTAGGTCGTTAATGAACAATTTGAAAGTAGGTCCCTCTTTGTTAATAATAAAAAATAAAGTTAACACAGTTTATTCGTAAGAGTGCACTATTGCACACCAGATTAATGGGGCTGTTTGGATGTGTATTTTGGATTGGCTAAAATTCAAATTTATGTGTTTTTTTTTCAATGATGGCAATTATGTGGTTGTTTGCAACAGAGAGTTGAAAAAAGTGTGTCATTCTGGGTTAACACTTAATTTGTTTCTAAATAATGCAATCAATATATCAAAGATCTTAGCCACCATCAACAAAGGGAGAACGCATGTTTTCTTATTAGGAGATAACTAGATTTCAAATAGTCAGATTTTGATGAAAATTTTTCAAATTTTGTTTGTTTTGTTAGGAAGATTAATCAGGAAAAAGCTTCTTTTTAAAAACTTTAATGTAAGTTTTTGTTTCAGGTAAGTGTGAAATGCTTCAGTGTTGCAAGCTTACAACAAATAGAGTAAAAGAAACATTGCATACTGAAATATTATAATTTGTATGACAGTGCATATGCTTCTGCAAGATCATCAAGGTCCAATAATAGATTTCAGTAATTTTTCACTGGCAAGAGTTCTTTTTGCTAGAAATGAAGCAAAAATTAATCATTCTTGATTACTTTTGTCATAGTAAGACAACATAAATATTTGTGGAAATATCAAGGTGTCAATTTTTCAACATAATTTATTGTATTATCCTTCACTTAATTCTATTTATAAAGAAGTAAAAAAATTAGGCCATGATATTCCATTTGAGACATAATAAATAATGTCCTTAGAAAAGTAACTGCCCTTCTCTTGCAGTTGGTGCACATTTTTGTGAACTGCATTGAATGCCACTCCGCCAAACTGGTATTTGAAAGCATATTGGAAGGCTTAGAATTGCTTTGCAGCGTTGACTACAACAGAAAATGTGACAACTTCAATGAATTTTTGCGTCATTTTAAATTCTTTATGCAAGCTGAATTTTTCTGTGAAACATTTTATATCATTTTTGAAAAATCAGAAAGATTGAGAAGCATGGATACAAACCTGATTTCTGGATTTATGAAATTAGCTGAGCTCTCGAGAATGAATGTATGTGTTATATTTGAGACAGAAATAGCACTAGAGAAGTTTTTTGTCGGTACTGGCTTCAATCTACCTGCTGAAGTTCATTTTGATGAATATACCCAGAAAGAGTTGGTGAAAATAATGTCACTTGTTTGTCCAGTGGGGTACAGTACAGAATTCTATGCTTCCTATTGCCAGCTGGTCATTAGTGTGTTCCATCCTGTTTGTAGAGACTTGAATGAATTAAAGCATTTGGTATGTATGACTTGCATACTTAGACTCAGGTTGAGTTATTAACTTAACTTAACAATGGTTAACATAACAATGATTTAGAGCAGCTTATAAATACTTCATAATAATGTGTGAGATATTAAAACAATTGTGCTTTCCCATTTACAAAATGTTGCTTTGGAAAACTGAATTATTGTTTTATAATGCTCAGGTTTTGAATATCATCAAGTGACTTAAATTGTTATTTTTGCATGAATTTATCAATGATGTTGGATATTTTTTCATAGTATCTGTTGAAGCTATTAAATGCTGGTTTTTATAAAGGATTATGGACCTTTGGGATCTGCTAAAGGAACTTCTTTTGGTTCCCTTTCAGAGAGGACCTACTTTGGATCAGATCCCATGTAAATGTTTGGATTTGGTCTGGATCAGATCTGATTATGTTGACTATCGATGAGCTGAATAGTGTTTTTATACTGTTTATTCAGAATTGCAATATCTTTTCCTGTTTAGATTATCTGTTATTTCAGGCTGTGCTAAACTTCTCAAAATATTGCGAGCCTCTTAAGAAAGATGGTTTTGCTGATGCCAGGCAACTTTGGCGAAATATTGAGCCTCAATTGAAGATGTGTCTTTCAACTGTATACCTCCGTGAAGTGTCAAGTATTAAATGGGAAGAAATGCATCAAGGCAATATGGAAGACTATGGTATGAACTATAAGCTAGACTATTATTAAGGTTCTGGGTGCAGTTTTCTTTATTTTTGAAATTGAAAGTTTATGCTGAAATGTGATATTTAAATTCAGCCTGTAAACATGTCTTGTTTATTTAGATATATTACTCAGTTGTTTGTAATGAATTAATTTGGTACTCAGCTATATCATTTGTGATTTCAATGCAGTGAAGCCAAAAGCCATCCTTGAACTCCCGTTCTTGTCAAAATATTTGCTTATTGCTGCATATCTGGCCTCACATAACCCATCAAGAAGTGACAGAAGATATTTTTGCAAGCAAACGTCTGGTAAGATGAGTAGAAGAGCAAAAACATCAATTAAAACAGCAGCCTCTGATGGCAAAGTAACTGGTGAGATCTCTTACTTCCTCAGATACTGTGGTAATATCCACCGGAACATTTTATGCTGCCAAAATAACTTCTTTAAAACAGGATAATTGTCTTTTGCAACAAGAGTGGTGTCAAGAAATAGACCTTTGTTTCATTTGCAATCATTTTTAGTCTTATGAGTTCTACAAGTGGCTTTCCATAGAAATATTTAAAAATGGATTGAATTTGAGCATGGTTACAATTTATTCTTGCTAGTTGCTGATTTTATTGATCTGACCTGACCTGACACGATTCAATTTCTCATAATAATTGAGTTAAATTATTGGAAGCTCCATTGTTCATGGTCTTTTTCTGTTTCAGGACCAAAAGCATTTCCACTGGATCGTTTAATGGCCATATTTTTCTGCATTATAGAGGGAAAAGTTAAGCCAAATTGCAGTTTGATTTCGCAGATATCCTCGCTAGTTAGCCTGAACCTAATGGCAAAACTCAGTGCAGATGACCAGATTGACATATCAAAATACAAATGTTTAGCGGATTTTGATTTCATCAAGTCAATTGCGCAGAATGTTGGCTTTCATCTTGAGCAATATCTCTTTGAGCAGTGAGCAGCAAGCAATTGTGTTGGTAGCTACTTTAGTTGGTTTCAACACTCGATGCAAAGCAGATTGGCAAAGCTTGTTTTACTAAACGACGGATCACGAGGACACACAAAAGCACACAAGGGCAGCCTGTATCACGACCGAGCTTTCAACAAGTGAAATATTACGTACGCATCAAACGGTTGAATGAGGCTTGCTTATTCCTAAGAAAAAGCAATCGATGAAAGCTCGTAGCCTAAGCAATGTTTAAACATATTTGATCATAATCATAGTTCATTTTGAAGGGTAGGAATTTACTCAAAGGTAAAATAACTAAAACATATATTTATCATCAAATGTATTTTCTAAAAGTTGTTGCCTCTCCTTGACTGCTATCAACTATCTAGCAACCTGACTATTCGAAATTTTTAAAGTTTAAATATTAAAAAGTAAAAGCCACTGATCATTTTAAGCCGTAGGAACATTCTTGCATTCTGGCAAAAGCTTGCAAAACTGAGTAAAAAACAACCAAGCATTAATGTGCTCTGACCAATAAGCAAAAGGTTATGGCTATTGAAACTTGTTGTTTTGTCCAGCAACTTGCTTTTCTGAAGTTTAATGATTGTTGCTGAATATAATGAAATGCATATCAAACTTTGAAAACGCTCCGCATTACAACATTATTCATGCATTATGCATTATGGTGTTATTCGACGTGCTGAATAAAATGAGATGATAAATCCAGTCTTAAATCGTCAAGCCATTCTAGACTAAGGTTTTGTACCCAGTGTTGGGTATGGCACTTTAACTTTATAACTATGCAAGTTGTGAAACTCAAACATTTTTTTCTGGAGTAATCGACGTATTTCATTAGATATTGTATATGCCCAGCCTGCGAAAATACAATTATTTCCTGTCCAATTATTTTCACTTCTTTATTCTCTGCCTGTCTACCAACACAATGTCTGGTCATCTTGCCTTAACAACTTTGTCGCACTGAATAGTGAAATTCTAGTGTAACAAAAGAGCTTGACCTTCTCAATTTTCACTAACTGGTTCAGGTTGTTGTTCATACCAATATTCCGCTTTTTGAAAACCTCCTTCGCTGCAAAGTTGCTAGTGAAATCATCATTGTTATTCATTGTAACTCGATTGTAATTTTAATTTGACAAAAGCTATTTTATCAAAAGCTATTTTCGTAGACTGGACATATACAATATCTATATTACAGAAACAACCTGAACAAAAGTCCGTTCCATCGGTATTAGAAAGCGAAATCTTTCTTCAGAAGAAAACTCTCGACGGGGGGCTAGATGCTTCCGACGGAGGGGCTGTAGCCCCTCCCCAGCCCTCCCCTGGCGCCACCACTGGCTGCGAGTAGACCAGTATGTATTTATGTATGTATTTGACAAATTTGACAACAACAGTAACATGCCAGTTTAGGATTAAATTATGATTTAACAAAGAAAAACAAGTCAAGACGTGTTGCCCAGGAAACTGAGATAAGCCAGGTACTTTTCGGGCTCAGTGCTCTATGTAATCGTGCTACATTACCATGCATTCTCTTTTACTTTTTTATGCACATTAGGGAATAAGCTTTTCTTTACATATGGAACTTCGTGTAATTCGTAAAACCTGTTCTTATGCATTGCATATTAGCGTAACCAAGCATGTCTTCAACCCCCCCCCCGTTTGAAAGCAATTGCCTTGCGTTATCCCAATTCATTTATCCTCTGTTTCCTGTCTTTCATAATTTTGTCCAATCGCCTCGACGAAATGTTCAATCATGTGTCTCCACATTTTGATCAAGAGTATCTTTCGATTGTTCACTTATATTCTGGCCATTTTCCTCTCCCCCTAGTTTCGAAAACCTCTTCCACCTCCTTCCACGAAATTATATTCTTGCAACATCACTCTGGCTTTTGAAGCGATTTCATATCACCCCATTTTGCTATTCTTAGTCTTTAACCCCACTAATGCTTTCTTCATTTGGTAGCGGTATATCTTCACTTTTCACCAGTTTCCTTTATAATAGTACCTCCAAACTTATTTGCCGCAAATTCCATTACAAGACTGTGAGTTCCCCTTTTTCAAATTGCACTTCAAACCGACAAAAAGTTTCATTTCAGTTCTTTTCCAAATCCTCGAATCATACATGAACAATAGCTGGTCAATTTGTATCTTTCTCCTCATGTAAATGTACCCATGCTAACGACAAATATAGTTCGGGAATAACAGTTATCTTTACACATTTCTCTTCTAATGCCGACTGTTCCGATTGAAACTCCACATGAGCTCAATAACGTTTTCCTGTTCCCAAATGATCGCCGGAGAAAATTTGCAATATTTTTAAGGATATGTGCAATTTTCAAATATTCGATTATCATACATTATGGAAACCATAACATCCAAACTATGCCAATTAGAGTATTACATCTATCTTAATATAAAAAAGGTCTAAACTTCCAATTCGCAAAACGTATCTCAACGGAATCTTAGTCGAACACTTGACTGGGTATTCCGAAACATGTTTATAATTTGTTGTTGGCTGTAAGTTTATTTTGATTAAAGCTGCCCAAAATTCTCCATTCAATTTTCGAGCCTCTTTGAATAAATTAATGTATATTTTCTTTACGCATATCAGTATCAACTACGTCTCTTCTGTGTTATTTCTACGCGTCCTTCAGTAATTTATTTTTCCTTGCTGACAATTTCATGTAAAATATGCTTTTTCATCTTTTAATTCTTTATCGCTTTTAAATAATTACAAGTGCACTATCGTATCACTTGTAATTATTTGAAATATACTGATAATAAAATGTTGAAGTTGAAGGTCTGTTCTTCTGTTTCAAAACACTGACCTCACCTGGCCACCCTCGCTGCAACGCCACTGGTTTGGTCGAATGCGCAAGGGGCGTTGTTTATGATGCCAGTGGTAGCATTGATGGTTCGACAAAAGGTTAAAAGAACATAATGCCATGTGCGCCTATGAACAGTTTTGGCTTCAAATGCCATATTTTTAAGGCAGCCTGAACGAGTTGTGGGGTCGAGGGTAGAGCTGTGTTTTAGAAGATTACTGATGCAAAATGGAAACCCGTAGCCAGGCCCTCTTTATCACGGGGGTGGGATAGAGGATGATCTGTTTGCTACGTTGCTAATCATAATCATCAGAAGGGTTGTACTGTTGTAAAAAGGTTGTACATGAAGTACGAATAATTTTGGTCGGATTTATCCCACTGAAATTTTTCGAAACCACCGATTGCCTTTCAGATTTCCTTGTTATTGTTTTCGTATTACTATACGTCCAATAAAGATCAATTTTTCAGTTTCTGGTTGTTCTTCGCCATCAACAAATAAGAGATCCAGTTCATCTTCACTTTCTACACTTTCGCCCTCACATTCAAGAAATTTGCGTTGACATCCTTCTTGCCTACTCTCATGTTTTATTTACTGGGCTGACATCAAAACATTTTTGTAACTATTTTAATTGTGCTACAGATAGTTCTATATTGAAGACAGAAAGTGTTTCATTTCTTTACTCACCAAATTTTTTTCTTTTACTCAATTTTATCAAGTTCTCACCGAAATTGGCACCAGATTTTTTGGTCCTTAATGTGAAACAACAATAATCTTAGTTGGATGGTAAATTCATCATTTGTAAGGTGAAATTGCATTCGTAAGGAAGATAAAATAGAGACAATTGTTAATTTTGTCATTGTCAGGAAACTTTTCCACCCTCCATTTGGTCAAGAAAGTCAAGCTACGCCACTAGAAATAATTACATCACCAGTACAGTTCGGGGTTCTCAAAGTCATATCTAACATTCATTCTGATCTGACTTTGTTACGTTGTTTCTCGTTTGTGATATCTGATATCACTGTAGAAGTTTTCCTTCGGAATGAGGTTTCAAGTACATCACAAATGACACAGATCAGTACAATAAAGATACATAATAGTTTAATCTTGTTTGTAAATCCTAAATTTTGTTAACCCATGTTGCAAACTAGTTTGGTGTTTCTAAAAAACGCTCTTTGTTTCACCTGGAGAAGTATGACTTAGAACAACCTTGAACCGAGGCGTCATCAAGCGGCCAGAAGTGGCAGGCAAGAAAAAGTGTAGGGAAAAACATTGCGGAAGACATCGTCAAAATTATTTAGTGTGCACCTCAAGACTCACTGAGATGCAAAGGGATTTATTTTGCAAATAATGACAAGTTGGGCAAAAAATCAGATTGCTAAACAATTGGCAAGGTAAGTATTTTTGGAAAATTGTATTTTTTTTCTACGGGCCTAATAAAAGATGATGGATTTCGTTGGCCTAAATTCAACTTTTAGCGTGGTAGTCTTTTGGGATAAATGGTGAGCGGTTCCTAGGCCTAAAGGACAGACAGTAAAGGGATTATTTGTATCGCTATCCTAACTTTTTTTAAAACGCTGCTCTAGGTAATTGCTGTGAATCAAAGTTTTATTTTTTGTTTGTTATGTTTTTGCATCGAAGCCACTTTTTTAGTTCACTAGTTATAATCTATATACTCGCAAGCAAGCTATTATCTATCTATCAAATACGTAAGATTGCGTAAAATTTGTTAGTCAGAAGTAAGATGTTAGTAGTTACCAATTCATTCTATCCATTATACTTTTTTTTGATTTGTAATATTTTAAATATCCTCTGTTCCGGGCAGTTTTATATCTTCATATTTGCCAAAAATGGATCATAGAATTGAAATCTTCATGTTGAATAAAATCTGTCTTATTTCTATAAATATATTCCTTAAATCTTATTTCTGTCCAGCGGAAAATACTTCAGTCCCAAAAATGAAAATGTTCAAGTCTAAACAGTGTTACTCTAATAATCTCAAATCTACCACGGAAAATCTAAATTTTTTTGGCACCTAAAGGGAAACATAAGGGGTTTTTCTATCAAATGGTAAAACATAAATGGCCAGAAGCTGTTCTGACAGGTATAAACAATGTCAACTTTGTTTGGAAAAAAACCTGCTATTTATAAATTTTGGCAAGATTTCAATCATAAGCAAAAGGCCAAAACTTGTTTTTGCAGACATCAAAATGAATTCCTTTTTCAAATTGCTAGTTAGTAACATGTAATTGTCCCCTTACTGTAATTGTTATGAGCAATAGAAAGTCCTGATACCAGCACAGAGCAATTAGATATTATAAAGCCCTCAGAAGAAGTAGTTTGAAAATTTCCTGATGATTGCATTGTATGGTATTGTTTGCTACCTAGCTTCTGAAGGTAGTTTTAGGACACTGAGAAGCTTATGCTTATCAAGCAGTGTCCTGGTCCTTCCTCTCGCCAGTTTGGTCATGCCAGGGACTCAAACCACAGACCCTCAGGTCTGTAGTCAGTGACCGTAACTACTGAGCCATCCTCACACCTGAGCATTAAGCATAAAACATGAAGTGGCAACTTAGATACACCTTGTTCTATACACCAGCAAATGTTCAGTTCTGCCTTCACCGCACTTCTTTTCATAATCTAATGGATAGGTAGTTCTAGTGTATGGCAGCCTCATGTTGGCTGATGTGAACCTGCAGCTTAATCGCAAAGCTAATGTTTTCTTCAAAACTTCTATTTACCTAAAAGTTAGAAATATTGCATCTCAATTTTTATTTCATATTTACCTTGGTTCTCCTACTAAACAAAATATGTTCTTTTATTTTGTAGTGATTTTTTAGCATTAAATAAATTGTGCTATTTTAAAAGCTATATATTATATTTGATCGCCAAATTTGTTACCATATTTGTTCTTAAATACTTCATTGAAACTTTAAAACAGTGATTTTTGTTTAAAACTGATAGTTTATACATATTTATTTTAAACAAATTTGACATAAATTGTTGGAAAAGAATTGCTATTTATATTTTTTTTGTTATGTGGAAAATGATAGTAAAGATGCAATCCTTAATCCTTTTTTGAATTCATGATTGATTGAGATCTTGAAATCCTGCATTCCTTTATGTTTTTATAACCCCTTTTCAGGTTTGTCAAGAATCTAGACCCAAGCCAAATTAGCTTGAAATTTTTGAAAGGCGAAGGTGAATTGTCAAATTTAGAATTGAATGAACAAGTGCTAACTGACTTACTGGAGCTGCCACCATGGTTACAGCTGAAAAAAGCAACATGCAATCGAATTTGCACGAAGGTAGGATCATTAATTTAATGGCAAAAGGCCATGAAAAAGATAGAGGTGCTAAATTTTCTTTTTAACTTAAATGCAAATTAGTATGATACAAAAGTTTGTTTCCAATACAGTTGTATTTAGTTCTAAGTAGTATCAGCTTAGAAATTCAGTAGTATCAGCTTATCAGCTTAGAAATTCAGTAGTATCAGCTTATCAGCTTAGAAGTTCAGTAGTATCAGCAGTGGCAGGGCCTGATGAAGCTTCTGGCTAGCTGTTTTACAGAGCATTTTGACATGTTTCTTGAAACTCAATTTCTGTCAGGACTGATGCTTACTAGTTTCTCCTCATCACTTTCTTCTATCTTGGTCTCACCAATATGTTTATTAACTCTTTTTTTGCTTGCTCGAAACAGAATGAGGTGACATTTACCTTCATTCAATTTCTTATAGTTCTTTGGGAACCACATTGTTAGTAGATTTGCATCTTCCTATAATCTTTGTATTATATTTTATACCTAAGAGTCACAAGCGTGCAAATTAGTATAGTTGTAAAGAGGTAACTGCAGTAAAGTAGTAGCTGAAGTTGCTCATGGTAGAGATACACAAAGTGACATCAAATTTAAATCCTAATTTAATAAAGCCAACATCCAAAGAAAAAGAAACACCTTACAGTTGGATAAACTACAACTACCATATCAAAAACAACTTGCCTTGGAATCGACACAGCCAGTTTTTTGGGAAAAAATATTGGAGACTCCAACACCAGAAATGAAAAATTGGTACTCCCTTCTGCTTTACCCCTGTAAATGCCAAGATCCCCACTGCAGATCGTGTAAGATGTTTTTCTAAGTTTAGGCTTTTAATCATAAGTTGTATTTTGTTGTCATTTTATAGCAATTGGTATGTCTTTGTGTTTAAACAATTTGCCTTAATTAGCTTTTAAGCTATACTTTAAATGCAGTTGCTAACTGCAAACTTTAAATCAAAGGATTAACTATAATAATAATAATAATCAAAATTCATCCTTACCATCTCAAGCGCCACATCATCAGTATTTTGTCTAAGATAATGTTCGTTTTCTGGTTTGAAACAAATAAATTAATGGCAACTCAAAGACAGAAAAGACTGAGCAACTTGACTTTGATATGAATTGAGAAGTGACACCTTTTGTAATTTAGAACAAGGAACAGTTTCTACGATCTTGACAGATCAATGTTTTTGTAGCAAAAGACACTATTTGCAGTAGATTACAAATAATTGGATATTTTTAAAATCAAATTTTATAATCATATTTATCTTGAATCACCAATTGTATTTCTAAGAAGCTGAAATAACAAATGTACTTATTTAAACATAACCATATTTTATATACTACCACATACCTTAGTTCTGTTCTAATGCTACGCCAATGAGTATCAGTAGGAAAATTTATGCTTGTACATATTGCTTATATGTAAGCTATTTTGTAGCCTGTGATTTTGTTCTGATGGGCCAGGCTTCTGTTCTTTGCTCTGGTTGGCCAGGCTTCCAGTCTTGGCTCTGGTTGGCCAGGCTTCCAGTCTTGGCTCTGGTTGGCCAGGTTTCTAGTCTTTGCTCTGGTTGGCCAGGCTTCTAGTCTTTGCTCTGGTTGGCCAGGCTTCTGCTCTTTGCTCTGGTGGGCCAGGTTCTGCTCTTTGCTTTTTAGGCCAGGCTTCTAGTCTTTGCTCTGGTTGGCCAGGGTTCTAGTCTTTGCTCTGGTTGGCCAGGCTTCCAGTCTTGGCTCTGGTTGGCCAGGTTTCTAGTATTTGCTCTGGTTGGCCAGGCTTCTAGTCTTTGCTCTGGTTGGCCAGGCTTCTAGTCTTTGCTCTGGTTGGCCAGGCTTCCAGTCTTTGCTCTGGTTGGCCTTCTAGTCTTTGCTCTGGTTGGCCAGGCTTCTAGTCTTTGCTCTGGTTGGCCAGGCTTCTAGTCTTTGCTCTGGTTGGCCAGGCTTCTAGTCTTTGCTCTGGTTGGCCAGGCTTCTAGTCTTTGCTCTGGTTGGCCAGGCTTCTAGTCTTTGCTCTCGTTGGCCAGGCTTCTAGTCTTTGCTCTGGTTTGCCAGGCTTCTAGTCATTGCTCTGGTGGGCCAGGCTTCCAGTCTTGGCTCTGGTTGGCCAGGCTTCCAGTCTTGGCTCTGGTTGGCCAGGCTTCTAGTCTTTGCTCTGGTTGGCCAGGCTCCTAGTCTTTGCTCTGGTTTGCCAGGCTTCTAGTCTTTGCTCTGGTTGGCCAGGCTTCTAGTCTTTGCTCTCGTTGGCCAGGCTTCGAGTGTTTGCTCTGGTTGGCCAGGCTTGTTGCTTGGTAAAGTCCTATGTCAAAGTGTTTTTGGGAACACAATTGCTTGGAAGAGCGCTTGATAAATGTTGCTGAAGTTTTTAAAAACATCAGCATTTAAAAACATCTGGCAAAGGCAGCTTTTTGTAGAGTTTTTGTATTAAAAAGAATAAAGAAGGCATTGAAATGAATCTTGCAGCAAAAATACTTTATTTTCATAATGAGCAATTAGTAATTTCGACTGACTCCTTAATCTTCTTTTTTTTTAGATTCACTGGACTAGCTTGAAAACTGATCCGATACAACTGGTATGGACAGAATATCATTTTTCTGTAAATAGCTTTTTCTGTCATGTAACTTACTGCTATTTTGAAGCAATTTTTTGCGGTACAGAATTTGAAAATGGCTTTGAAAAAAGCAAACATTTTACGACATACTAAAAGCTTTTTCGTCTGACACTCCTCAGAGCATAAAACGTCAGAATAGGTTCCGAAAAAACACGATGGAAAATATATACCCAGTTGTGGATCGAAATAGGCCAACAGAAAAACGCCAGCACAAGACCGGTATAGTTGACCAATCAGTGCCGCGAGCCTAAAGAAAAATTACCAATGGAGTCCAAGAGAGAAAACGAACTCCTTTTGTCTACACAATGGCGGCTTTTTCGTTTTTATGTAGATTGACTCCAAAACTGCTAGATGGAAGGACGACCGGGCTCTGCCAATTATCCGAAACATGTCGTCATTATATTTTGAAGCAATATTTCAAACAGTTACTCAAACAAATTTTTGAATGCTTAGAAATGTAAGCAAAATGACATTGTTGTTGTTTATTTATTGTCAGAAAACGATAAACTCTGAGTTAACCGATAAACCAATACATCCTTTCTTAGTTTTTGGATTGTGTTGAAGTGGATATTTTTGCAAGCGAAACGGGAAGTCCAAAGCCCCACGACAATGTCCCATCTCACCAAAAGTATTCAAGGTAGGTTTTTAGATGTTTTTTGGATGCTCAATTATTATCTGAATAGAGCCGGTTAATTACATCTCTTACCATTATCATTGTATTCATCCTTTGTGTTTTGAAAACGAGTTTGACTCTAGACAATATTTTTGTACCTTGCTTGCTAGTACCTTGGTACCAATTGCGGTAAGAAATAAATATGTCAAATTTTTTTGTGTTTTTTTTAATCATCAAGATGTATGAAAAAGATTTATTTTTGTTCTGCGAAGCTTTTCCATGTTCAGTATTAAATCAAAAATTTCACGCGTTATTTGTGGTCCTCGTGCTAGGGTAGTTGGATTTGCAATAACGACAAACAAAGGATGGCAATAACGAAGAAAAAATGGTTGTTGTTCAGTAACAATTTACTGGCCTTCAATGATGGCACTCTCTTGTGTGGCTATTTGCAGCCATAAAAACCAAAAAAGCTAGAAAAAATTGATGAAAGAGCCGTTCTTTAAGCCCTCTCAATGTATTCCTCTTCTTCTACTACAGTACAAAAAATTTGCATAGCTTGAACACCACATTTAAGAAAGACTTTTTTCTCCCGAAAAGCACATGCCATGACCTTCGTATGAACAATAAACTTCACTCAGGTACTTTTGTCCAACGATTTGAAAACCACTTCAGAACAGAATCAAATCATTCACAAATATGAAGAAATTTGTAATTTTTATCAAAAGTTGGTTTTCTTGTAGTAAAGGCTGCAGCTCGGCATGTACTAACAGTAGTCAATTATGTCCATAATGCAATCTCTTAGATGCTTCATGTTAGCGATAATTAGGTTTTCAAATATTGTCTAGCAAACTTTTATAAAAGTTGATGATGATGATGAGGATGATGTCGTTGAACATTGGTGTCTTAAATGGAATAAAGTCTTAAATGGAAGAAATGTAGTTCATTTATCTTGGGATTGAATTCTCACGCTATTTTGATTTTGCGTCTTGTAATCTGACGATGCTTGTTTCTTTTCTTGGCATTTTGAGATACAGATAAAATTGAAAGTTCATCCAAGTTTAGAATTCAGTTGATAAACGTTGCCTTTTTTTGATACAGTTTTAATGTCGGTTTGTTACACTTTTGTATGTTGCGTTTTACCAGCAAAGATAAGCCACAACCAGTCAAGACCAGCAAGTACGGGTTTGCGGAAAAGGTAGTCGACGGAATGTATGTCTCAATTAACAGTGTACTTGTTTCATTCAAAGCATCAGGCTTCAGGGCGTCTTTCAGCATGTCACGTTTTATTGTGCAAAGTACAGATCCATATTGGAATGTTGCAAATAACTTGCGAAAGACAAGAATAAAAGACGAGCAGCGCGGCGAAGTTATGATATTTAAGCAAATCAAATGGGGGACAATGCGCCTCGATGCCGATGCTGCATATGCTGAGGTAATAATAGCTTCAGAAAAAAATTGTTTTTATCGATCTCAGTAACATGATCTCCATCTCTTCGTTGCCATTCAAAAAATAGGCTTCCTGAAATTGCCTTCATTCACCACTTTAAGTTGTAAAGTAGCGAATTCTTCTTGAAAAGTCCCTAAAAAATTAACATAATTGTATGCCGAAAATGAATTGTTCCTGGCTGTCTCTGCCAGACAGATGTTTCTTTTATATATATTTGCAGATTGCGGTATTTCGTAATAGGTTCACTGTACACATTGATTTCTATTTCAATTTCCTGTTTTCACTGAGGATTTTTTCATGGTAGATGTTTTTTGCACTTTTTATTGTATAATATGTGAATTTATCTTTCTAAGCGTGAAACTATGATAGCAACTAAAAACAAACCATCTTACATCTTTAAACATAAAGCTTCATTATGCTTATACACATTTTGAATTTTGTTCTCTCTGCGTACCAAAGCGTGTAAAGTTCTGCCTTTATGGCATCAGCTGCAGAACGGTTAACAGAAATGATAATTGATACCTATTGCAAGTGAAGGGTACTTGTTTATTTCTTTTAGACTGCTGAGCACGGATCTATCCCCATTCGTTTGATCACCAACAATTCAGCAGTCCACTTAACTATAAAAAAACGATTATCTGACTGCTCCTTGATATCTTCGAGACTTGAAATAATTTTTGATGACATCTTATGGATTTTGACGCAATCGCAGTTGCTGAAACTTTCATCGTTTGTCCACTTCTTGCTAAAAGTAAGACAGAAGTTCTTGCCAATGGCAAAGCACACTGAAGCGCAAAAAGATCACAAACCAATGGGAAATTCAAGTGATTCGGGAGCACCCCACCGGCCTAATGCGGATTTGTATCAAGGGACTGGTCATGGATCAAACTTAAATAAATTTTTCACTGAACATGATGTTATTGAGACTTCATATCATTTGAAAACTAACCGCATAGACTTACACCTATGCGATGACCAGACCCTTAGCAGCAGCGAAACTGCGCCGAGGTCATTTCAGCATAATGGGTCATCAGATAGTCCGGGTGCTTTGTTAATATCAATACAGAACTTCAAAATGGATCACTATCCATACCACATCGCCAACTTGAAGAGGAAGCTAGCTAGAAGTAGTGATGATGATGCTTTATTTAGCAGAAGACAATGGGCACAGCAACTTTTCGATTTTTTCCTAAAGAATGAAGGAAAAGAGATAGGCCACTTTGCCAGTCAGGTAATTCTTCTTGTTGTTTCTTTATATTGGTTTGTTTTGAAAGCAAGAAACTTTGTGGTCAGCTAATTAAGCTTCCAAAAAGCACAAACTATTTTGTGGCATACTACATCGCGTAGAACAATTACAACGAACGCAATGAAAACAACCATGAAACTCATATATATTTTTTATACACTAGGATTATGATTATCAGAATTTTTTCCCTTTGAAACCAGTAAATGTTGATTTTGGTATATATCCCATGTTAACATGGTAATTGCATGAAACGCTCAGTTGTAATTTGATACCATCGTATTCATTTGATACAATCATTTGTTGGTTTTTCGTAGGCATCTTGTAATCAAACGTGGTTTATGTTTTGTTTACAGCAAGCAAAAAGTGCTGCCCCGTCTAGACGGCCACTGATGTATGAAAGCTTCTTTCTGATCTCTTGTACAAAGTTTGCAATTATGCAAGTAAGTACGAGTGATCGGCAAGAGCCAATGCCTTTTCTTTCATCGGACAAAGAAGGCCTCTTTTTACCCGAAGATATGAACTCATTTCTGCTTGATTTCACTTCTTATTACTTCATTGGATATCGAAATTTACCAGGTAAGATTGTTATAAAACTGCTGCTCTGTTTCATTCGATTATAGATGCAATATGCCATTATCGCCATTTTTCCCATTTTTTCTGTGTACTGTTTGATGTCTCGCGTGTTTTTGCAATATTTCATTTGCATTTTAGTATTCTCTACATTTCTCCGTGGTATTCCAGGCCTGTAACTGACAATGTTACAGTATCGAGCTTCTCTTAACGCTTGATTGATCACCTGCAATTTTGGCTTGACATGAGAAAGTCAGTTATTCTGCTCGACCTTCATATTTCATCTTTTGCCACCATGGCGAATTTCAGGAAGGCTTTTTGTCCATCCATTAATAGCCAACGCCATTATTTGGGACTGCCTACTGTCTTGTAAAACTGGGGTAAATTGATGCTGTTTTTTCCGTTTTCGTTTTGAGCTGTTTTTGACGTCACCATTTTTAAAATAGAAGCGCGAGAAAAGAATGATTTTGAATTTTTCCATTTTCAGTGTTTATCCAGTGAATTTGCCTTTCGATTTTAGCCTGTTTTTAGCCAACCCATTTTGCTGCGCTGTCAAAGTGTTTTCCAACTATTAGGTTTTAACAGCAATGTAATGTAAACGAAAGATTGTCCATTTTCTTATGGAATTGAAGGCGCGAACATTAATGACAATCCATGACTACTTTCAATTTCAAATTGATTTAGGCAAATACGGAAGTAAAGTTTTAGTGTTTCTGTTCAAGGTTAGAATGATTTCTCATACAATAATTGAGGTGATTTATTCGATCGAGTGCCTATCAGTGAGAAGTCTTGTCTCTCCATGAAACTGCAGAGACATGTGATTAATGCTGATGCTATGGTACTTTGTTCATACTCTATCTTTTCGAGCAATTTCAATTGTAGTGCCCCCGTCCAATATGTTTCTGAAGATGAATCCTATGAAACTTGTCTTTCACCCATTAACTTGCATTTGGCTCAACAAATTCATCCAGAGTGTTGTCACAGGCCTGGTAAGTAGCAATCGTCAATTTGTTTTCCACTTTTGTATCCTGCTTTACGTCTTTTCCACACAATTCTGAATGTCCTGTTTACGTTATCTGCCACGCCACGTAGCAGAGGCTTCCAAACCGCAAATCTATTTATATATGTGCTTTTTATTTGATTTGAATAAATTTGAAAAACTTTTGCTGCTTTTAAATGTATTGAATATTTGCTAAAACGGGGTTACTTGGAGAGGTGCAAATTATGTAGATGCTACATAGCTCAGGTTGGATTCCTTGACTAGAAATTGAAAAAAAAGTCGTCAAAAAAGTCGTCCTGGTGTTAAAATTTTAAAACATCTTTTAACTGTAAACGCATTGTAAAATTTTTTTTTTTAATCTTCAATTTCATTTCTTTCATTAATTAACTAATTGTTTTATATATGTAATTATTAATTATTCATTCTTAATTGCTATTTATTCTAAATTTTTGTAAAGTAGGCCTAAATTAGCTTGTACACAAATTGTACATAAACAGCTATATTATACCCGCCTACTGTAAATAAATTGATTATTATTTACATTATTATTATTTCACTCAACAGCGAATCCTCTTTTGCAGCGGTACTTACTGTGATACTTTACTGATTCTTTTTTATTGGATTTTTTAAAGGAATGGACGAAAGAATTTTTGACAAAAGAAAGTGCCCCGCCTGAGCATCTTGACATCAGGATCGAGTGTTTAATGCCCCAGGTACTATTTCCCTATGTTTTCTCGCAATCTTTCGCCATTAAAATACGATTCTTATTCTTGTGTAGTTTGTTCACCTTCAAAGGCGGCCGTTGAAATCTCCTCGAGGTTGTGTTGTGATGTGTGTTTTGTGGTGTGGTGTCTACCTGATCTGCTCTTTGCGTCACCGATGAGTGTTGATAAGCATGGAAAACTGTTTTTCTCAAAACTGAAGAAATCTTTAAATTAGCTTTCGTTTATTCTAATGTTAGGTTCAAACATCCCTTGGTTTCAGTAAGAGTTTTATTATCTTTTGTTTTAAGGTGACTGTTCCTTGCGATGCGAGCTTTGAGCTGCCTCACAGCAGTGAAAGGCCAAAAGCCCTGCAGATTCAGATCTCACAAGCCGTCATTTCAAACAGTCGAATTGGAGTAGCAACATCACAATCTGATTTATTGATGGATGTACAAGATGCACTTGCATCTCACGTTTATTCCAGAAACAACGATTTTCCCAATTCGCAGACTGACTATGGCCCGCTTCCTAATGAGTACTGGGTAAATGACTACAGCATATTGCACAGACGGTTCTGGCAGGCTTACCTTAGATGTCGCACAGAGTCTTTGGTCGATGCGCGTCATCCGGTTAACTCACAAATGGGAATGGAATACTCAAATATTCCCGGTCAACCCACAACTTTTGGAAAGCAAAGTACAAACCTCGCCAAGGATTTGATGAATCCAAGGGTTATCTGGTGTATCTGGTGTGAGCAAATTTGGATTGATTTCATTGGAATTGAGAAATCCTGTGGACGCCCAGTCACTTTTATTGATGCTGTTCCAATGCGTCTTTGGCTTAGCTTTCCTGTTGTTCTACCACGAGAATCCTCATCTATCGAAGAAGACATAGAAAACAGAGGTTCCTTTTTGCAAGATATCTATACTCAGACAGAACGCTCAATGGTTGATGCTACTTCTTTACATACAACTGTAAAAACCCATGTAACAAAAACCGGCTCTTGTACATCTTTACCTGCCACTTTGAAGTCGCAGCAAGAATTTTTTAGTAATTCGAGCTCAAATAGTTCAATTTCTATGGACAGTGTAGCTAGCAATACGATTGGAAACGAGGCAGCGAAAGAAGAGGTGTCTAGTTCAACCAAATCTAGAGCTACGCCTTATGAGCATGTTTCACCTCCTTTTGGTTTTCAAGAGCCGTCTTTGAAGACAAGTTATTCCGAGACAGACCTCATGTTAAGCCGGGCCAGGTCCTATGCTCCGGGCAGCTCCTCGTCCCAAGAGTTTCCTGTTGTCGTAAAAGATGTAAGAGTTGAGGCTCCCGGCCCTCCGCCCCCATATTCAGCTTCTGCACTAGCCAATGTCAGTAAAGCTGACTTTAAAGTGAATTCAAGTGAATCTCTCCCACCTGTGTATACTCAGCTTCCAACCTACAATGCTGTTACATTAGACGAGGGTGCATCGCAAATAACAGAAAAAACTTCTAAGGAAGTACTTGATTTCTTCAAATGCCGTCAAGAAAATGAAGGTAATGGCAGCAATGACCCGAAAAAGATAACAACCATTGGCAGCATCTTACATGTTACGAAATCCACAAGTATTCAATTAGATCATTTCCAGCTTTTGTTTCTGTTGCGCATTCAAGAAATGTTGCAAGAGGTTGCAACGAAGATAACTGATGACAGTTTGTTATCCAAAACAGTCAACTCCCCATTGCACCAGGATTCTTCATTTAATGGCAAATCTTTCTCTATGCACATGAGCCTACCATCCATCGATTTAAATATTGTCCTTCCTCCCTCAATGGGCATTCAGAACGAGCAGTTCTTGTCCCTGGAAGAACGCATAGAAAGTGGCAAATTGACAAGGTTTTTTGAGCTTATAAAGCAAACAAGAGATGGTGAAAGCAGAAAAAACCAAAAGACAGAGAGTAAAGGGGGCCTTTTTTTGGGAAATTCGCAACATTCTTCTACCCAGAGCGGCTCTTGCAACTTACCTGTTAAAGAGCTTTATGCCAGCAAAGAAAATGAAGATATTTCAAAGTCAGTTGAAGGCGTCCAAGAAGGTAAACCCAGCCAGAGAATGGAAGAAAGTTTGATAAAAGATGTCTCGAAATGTGATCTCAATGAGCTAACCCTAAATGGAATTGAAACGACTGCTCAGTGGAACAAAAATAGCGCTGTATCAGATGGGAATACTTTGTTTGACGTGCCTGCAAATCCTGAAGACCATGTTTTCATAACAGATGATCCAGCCGATGAAAGAGAATATGACGAAAGGGAGGCTGGGGATGAAGTGGTAAACTATGGTAAACAGTTAGAAGCCTGTGAAGCGGAAGGGCGTCATTCTGCTGGCCAGCAATATGTCATGGTTGTCGAAGCGTCAACACAGACAGATGCAGTAGCTTGCACTGTAGATAATTATGAGTTTTTCAAAAATGAGGGTGTTTCAGTTATTCGTTCGAAATGTAAAGATTTACGTATTGCAATTCAAAGCGAGAACTCTGATTCGGTTGTGAAAGTAACTGTTGGAAAAATAAGACTGAAAGAAGATGGAGATGTAACTTACGGGATGACACTGGATCACAGGTTGCCATCTGGAAAAGACACAGAAAAGGAAGACTGTCTTTTTCTCGATTCAAAACCTCAGATTAAATTACGATTGATTTCTGGCCCAGTTGCAGAGCAATTTGCTGATGGAGCGTCTGAGATGGGTTTTGCTCACATCAAAGTTTCAAACCTTGATGCAAACTTACTACTTAGCAACATTGAAAGTCTTGGTGAATTTATTGAAGATGAGTACCTTTTAAAAAAGATGCCATTTAAGATTGAATTAGAGAATATTGAAGTAAAGTTGTTTGATGACAAACCACGGAGATACATTTCAGCTCTTTTGCCTCCACCCATTGAATTGAAGCTCAAAAGCCTCGTAGTTTTTGGCTCAACAGGAGGACAGATAACAATAGGGGAGAACCTACAAGATTTGTTTTCAGAGCGAACTGTGACAGGAAGTATTAGTGATGCCTCAAAAGAAGAGGAAGGTGGAAGAAGGGAGGGTTTTTATGAAGAGAATCTCTTAAAAAGTTCAGGAGATGCAGACTCGGGAATCGGTAATATAGGAACTGTGAAAGAGCAAAGTGCATTGATAATTGAAGAAAATGAGAGATTGATTGATGATCTGAAACTAGCAAACGCAAGAATGGTGAGTTTAGAACAAGAGAGAGATGCTATCTTAAAGGTAGTGGAGAAATTGCAACAGGAATTGATGTGGTCAAATCACGAAAACGAAAAATTAGCAGAAAAGGTTAAATCGTACAAAATCTATCTAAGAGATCTTGGAAAGAGGTAATGCCAGAGGGTTTGTTTATATTTTTGACGTATTACAAAAACAATTTATTTTGGCGTATTATTAGAAAACTAATTTTTCCCCTATGTGAATTTACATTTTGAGTCATGTTTTATGTACTTTTAGGAATTTGTTTTTCCCATTATGCTGCCTTTTTAAATCGTAAAGACACACAACATGTTATGACAGCAATTTCATGATGACAAACTTTTAACGACCGTTTGCGATGCATACTTAGCAAGGTCTACAGCCTTCTCGTTGTTCTCACCCTTATCTGTGATGTTGAGAGATCTACCAAATAAATTTCCAAAAATATAAAAATAGCCATTGAAGACAGACTGAAACAAATAGGCCGCGGAATATCAATTACCCAAACTAAATAGACGCCGTTGATCGTATGCTCTTATTATAGTAAGTTTAAAATCAGGAGTGGGACTTAACGAGAAAATGTTTTATATTTTTTTACAAGAGAATCCTCTAGCAATCGTTAAAATTGGTAATGAGAGATATATTTCCTTGTAATTACAATGTAATTTAGCGAAATCATCGATTTTCATGTGTTGAATATTTATCTGATAAACAATGATGTAATAATGATGAAACTTTTAAAACCCATTAATAAGCCCTTCGTCGAAATCTCACTTTGAGTGTACGCTACGCCTGCTTTGTTCATTTCATCAAATTAATGGTTTTAAATTAGAATTGGAGCTTTACAGTTGTTTTTTACTTGGAAAAAGATTCATGTCTTGTTTCTCTTGAAGACACTTGCATAAGTTCAAGCACACGTCATCATCACCAAACACACCGATGCCATTATCATTACCATTGTCAATTCAGGGTGGTTTGTAACAAGTGGAAAGAACAGAAACCTATGCAAATAGCAAGCAGAATATTGTATTTTACTCACATTTAGCAATTTACAGCGACATTTGGGTATGACAAGGTATGACATTTGAATTGGTTATAATCTCAGACGGAACGGGATGGAGAAAGTCCATTTGAAGAAAGTTATGATGCTGCGATTGAAATTCTATCAAAGTTATGAATTATCCACGGCTAAATGTAAGGAAGCAGCTCGCCCAGGGGGATCACTTGAACCTTCTATATACAGAGGGGACCATCTGGTATCTATGGGTAAGAATTTTCCTTTTAAATACCACTTTTGATACAACTTTTCATACTTATAGATTCAACTAGAACATAACAATATCAGAAACAGGAACAACAGAACAAATGTTTTTAAACTGATTATTTTAGGAAACAGTCTAAATTACTATGACTAGTGGTCTCTTATGTGTTCCAAGTCGAAATTCACAAAAAGAAATTCAAGCATACAGCAGTCGCTTGAATTCACTGTTTTCCTTATTCGCTCGAATTGCAATGCATGCTGGTTACAGTTAAAAACAACACGAAAATCGGCGCACTCTTAAACTCATTGCATATATCACTCAATCCAACTGTACGGCTTTTTACAATTATAAAGATGGATAACCTTGCAATTACCGAAAAAAAAAATGTTTCTTCGCAGAATCGCTCTTGTTTTTTTCCAAAACTTTATCGCGGGGCAACTAGCTGTGTTCCAACAAACCGATATGGGAGGAGACAACAGAGTAGGCCTATGTGATGAGGTCCCTAAGAAGCAATCGAAAGCTGGTGGGTTCACGTTCTGCGTGCCAGTTGTTTCAGCAGTGGTAGAAGAAATCCACCTCTTAGTTTCTACCAGTTTCCCTTTTGAGATCTTCAAGAATAGATCGACCTGAGGAAAGGATGGATACAGTGAAAACCCACGTATAAGAACGTGGATTTTAAAGACTTGTTAGGCGAACATTCCAAATTTAGGCCTCTTCCACCTAAGAACCTTTCAGGCTAAAATTTCAAGTTAGGTTCTTACCGGTGGAGCTGCTGTAGAGATTCCTAGGTGGAAACTGTTAAAAATGTATCATTATCTGCTTATATCTGATAATAAATCCTCTTGATATTCAGCATTTTCAAAGTACTACAAAGGTTTAATTTTCATATATTCCGAGTTTTCCTAATTTAACTTTTAGTACCATTCATATAAGATTTCATATTTCATGACAAACATTTCATATAAGGATGATACTGAGCTAATTCATTTACTGGATTCCCAGATCATGAAACATTTGAGATTTTTTTATGCTAGCAGCAGAGATACTGTAAGTCAAAACAAATGCAGATTTGCCCCGTGAATCCAAAACGTGGAGCAAAGAGAACACTGGCGATGGACCAAGAATTTTTTCTTGTTTTTGTACGTTTACGCTGTGGACTTTTGAAAAATGACAACCTACAGGGCTGTTATTTCTGTTGGGCATTTTTCAAGGATTTTTTTAATCTGGATTGATTTCCTGGATTGCTGAATTGGCAAGGCTTAGACGGCTGCCAATATGGGCATCAAGATTAACCAGTAAAGAAACAATGTCAAATGCATTCAGAGAAATTTACCCAAGCCTACGTGTGTTATTGGATGGTACAGTTCATTCAGTTCACAAAGTGTTCAGTTACAAACATTGTAATACTGCATAGCGCTTGCTTCGTACTGCATCTTCAGGTGCAAGTACATCTGTGTCACACCTATACAAGGGTCACTCGAAAATTATTGAGATTTTCAAAAACCGCAAGTGGCATCATGTTCAAATTTTCACAGTTTCTCAAAATACTCTCCATTGTCTTCAACACAAAGTCTCATAGGATAAAACCACATATCAAAACAATGGGCCCATTGTTCTGCAGCCAGGTCAGAAACAGCCTCGTTGAAGGCACAAACTGCATCATCAGCGCTGTCAAACTTGGTTCTGCAAATTTTTTCTTTTACCGCTAGAAAGAGAAAGGAGCCACAAAAGGCCAAATCAGGGTGCCAAAGTAGACCTCTTAAGCCGGTCCTTGGACGTTTATTTCGCCAAACTTGTAGAACCTGTGGTATGCAGTGGTTAACATACCAATCCGGGTTCACTGTACGACGGTCTTCCAGTTGAATGGTTGCGACATGACCCGTCTTTGAGAAAACTGACGCAACCATCTTTTTGCCGACGCTTCTGGATCGCCGAAATTTTCGCGGCGGGTTTTCACCTGGAAAGATCCAATTTGAGGATTGGCGCTTTATCTCCGGGTCAAATTGGTTAATCCAACTTTCATTGCCTGTCACAATGTCATAAACCCGTTTCGACTTCCCTTCATTAAATTTTTGCAGCATAAACTGGCACCAATTGACACGCTGCTCCTTTTGCTCATCTGACAAGCAATGTGGCACCCAGCGGGTAGCCACTTTCCGAACTTGCAAGTTTTCATTCAAAATTGTGTGCAATGCTGCTGATCCAATCTTTACGCTATTCTGCATCATAAAATAGTCCATCCGACCAACCTGCCTTAGCATCTTCTCCACAGCGGCAACTGTTTCTGGCACAACAGCAGTTGGGGGCCTCCCTGGGTGGGTCTCATCTTTAAGGCTATCCTCCCTCTCTTAAATTCGGCAAACCATCGAAAAACTGTTGCCCCTTGAAGGCGTATTATCTCCAAATGTCTGCAGAAGTTGAGCTAGGCACTCTTCTTGATTCAGACCCTTTTTAAAATCATAATAAATCATCGCGCGAAAAAAACGTCTTTCAAGCTCCTTTTTAACAAATAAGAACATCTAAGGTGCTGAAATTCAAAACCCTTTTCAATTTTTTCCCGCGCTTGAAATTAACAAAAATTACAAAACATGGGTGAAATAGATGGTACAAGCTACTAAAAAAATTTCAAACTCATATCTCAAGCGGTTACTGCATATCTCAACCAATTTTCAAGGATTTGTATGCTCGATTTTTTTAAGAAAACATTTTTGATATTCTTAAGGTGCCTGCCGAGGCCGTACTGTCGTGAACTTGTTTGGAATGAAGTTGCTGAGAATATTCAGTAAGTCTTCATTTAAAATACTGACTTGTTGATTAGGACATCTGACTTCATCCAGAGTTTATCACACTTAACAGCTACTTTGTATCAGATTATTGTAAACTGTATTTTATCTTTAATGGCCAGGTTTATTTCTTTTGCAGAGACAATTGGAAAACGGTTGCGTAATTATTAAACTAAATTGTATCCCAGGGTGAATATATTTAAAATCAAAAAAGCCTGTGAGGGTATTGATATAAGAAAGGTCTGTGGTTGATTTGCTGCATGAAGCAAGGTAGTGCTGCAGTCCGGTTCTGTTTGCGAACGGTTTATAAGAATAATAGAAAAATGGAAATGTTGATTGGATTTAGAAAAAAATTTTTCTATTGAAGGGGAAAAGGGTTGTGAGTCCCCGGGGGGTATGAGTTACCTTAGAAAGTTAAAAGACTGTGCTTGGTCTTTTATTGGTGCATTTCTTTTCTATTTATGAGACACCGTCCCCGTAGAGAATAAATCGCAAACCATTTCAATGTCCTTTGAATGTCTTTTAATTGTGTTTTCTATAAAAAAAGTTAGCCAAGCCTACATGATACTAACGTTTATTCAGATTGCAACTTCAATTTCAAAGAAATCGCTTTGATGCTGCTTCAAGATATAATCTAAGCTGTTTCACTATGTTTATCGAGTCTTTTTGGACGGCTTATGATTGCTTTTGGGCAAATCATCCTTAATTTCGCAAGCTTCCAATTTAAGAAAATGAACTTTTGTTACTTCAAGATTTGTTTTAAACCATTGAAAATGTCTTTTGTGCTTTCACAGAGCTTTTTTGTCATTTATTCCTCGATCAAAATAGGAATACTTTGTATAATCCCGTAGGCTTATATCTCATCATTGCCGTACTTGTCTCAAAATTTGCAAACTGGTGGGCGCAATGGTGAATCCGTGGTAGAAAAGGATAAGATGTGAAAACATAAACAAATAAAGATATAATTTATCGCAGTGTCATGTTTGCTACGAATGAACATGAGAATAATAGAGACTTTAATAGATAATAGAAGAATTGGGAAAAAGAAATACTGGCCAGTGAGATTTCAACTAATAATATCACTTTGCAACAAGTTACTTAGCGGTGTGTCTGTTATCATTAAGCAATATAAACAAGTTTAAATCGCTCAATGTCCACAGTATTTCTGGAAGGGAGAAATTGTGACATGATACCTCGATTCATTTCAAGGCTTTTGCGAAGGCGATTGAAAGGATACAAATAAGAAATAAAGAATCTGGTCAAACATGAAAATTTGAGTCAATTATGCTGTAAACCTTCTGGTAAAGGAATTTTTGAGGATACTTGCGATAGAAATAGTTACTCAATGTTATTCAGAATGAAATAGTATATTTCCTTAATTTCAAATTTGGGCCCAAAATACCAAAAATTGAATCCAGATTTCTGAAGTTATTTCAATTTACTGAAAGTTTTCTGTAAATTCCCCCAAGAGCCATGTGTATGTTCAGGGGACATTTTGTTCTAGAGCCTGAAGATCTAGGGGGTCAATAATGAATTCCATTTTTAAGGATGGAATTATCTAGATGCAACAAAGTATGTTTACAAAATAGTAAAATGTTTTAAACGAATGCAATAAAATTACTCCAAGAATTTAGTTTGAATTGTATTTTAAGCTATTTGAAAGTGCGTGTTCGCAAAAACTCTTTTCTTTCTCTCTGCTCGCATGGGGTCTCATCTTTTACTTTTGCCCAAGAGAACTAACCTGAACATAAACAAACGGAGGGAAAGGCGCTCATCTACTTAGAATAAAAAAACCCTCTTCAGAAGCACTAAATTCAAGGTAATTCTTTTCTGAACTTTATGGAATTTGGCCCCTTCCCCTTTGAAATCCGTTGCTAGGGCCCTAAAAAGGGATTCAGAAAAGACCTAAAGACAGTAAAAACTCATGGTGAAACACCATTGAGTTATGGCCCAAAATTCTATGCACTAAAATAATAAGCGGCTTAAAATGTTTGACCATAAACCAAACGTGTAGAACATAGAAATAGTTTTTCTAATATGGAAATCCTTGGTTTAACTTGTTAACTTGAGTTAAAAAAGTGTTTGTACTTTCTGTGTTTAAAGGCCTAATAACACAAGAAGCGTCGATCGATTGAAACTGTGAGATCTTCAGAGGAACATGAACGTCTTTTCAGAATTTACCAGTCTTGTTAATCTTGTGTCTTGCAAGAGAGAGTGTGAGGAATCACGGAAGTGAATTTAAAGCAACAGGATTAATGCTGGCAATCAAGGGCCTGTGATTGAGAACAGGCTCAAATGAAGTTTTTGCAAGCTCTATAGGGGGCGTGCATTGCTGTATGCTGTTGGATTAACTGATTGGCTACTCAGTCTGTATTTTTATATGTAATGTAATGTATTCATTGCACAGATTCTAAGTATAATATAGGTTTTTCACTGGCAGTAAAATAAATAAATAATTAATAAAACAAAAATCTATAAATAAATATCACCAAATGTCAGTATAGTCCTTTTATTATATTAAATAAAATTTGGCTAGAAAATATGTAGAAACAATTACATTATATATATATATATATATATTTATGACTTTTGTGTTAACTATATTTTGTGAAACTACAGTGATTTTAAGTTTTGCTTAAACTGGAAAAACGTTTTTGATTGCTTCACTCTTGATGGTAATTTGTTAGAGTCAGCAGTGGCTTGATACAAGAATGTTCTATGATGGCTCGCCGTTGACGACATAGGTACGTGCAAGTGGTGTTGTTGTCTTGTATTTTACTCATGAATTTGTGAGTTTGCATGGAACACTTCAGAGAGATATTGGGGGCCTGGTTGTTTAGACATTTGTACAGTAAACAGAACCTATGAGTCTTTTGTTGTTCCTCAAGCCTTTTCCACTGAAGTATGTTTAAAGCTGGTGTCACATGATCAAACTTACGCATCCCAGTAACTACCTTTGCCGCAAAGTGCTCCATTGGGAGCTTTTTGTAGTGCTGTTTGTGACACATTGCTGTAGACAATATCGTCATATTGTACGCTAGAGAGTACACATACTTGCACATGTTGTGCAAGCATGTGTACTTTTGATATGTCAGTAGACTTGTCTACGGAAAGAAACTCATAGCATTGAACATCCCAAGGCAACCTTGAGCATGGAAGGTGCTTCGTTGGGACTTAGGCTTAGAGGTAATTTATTTTGGTTTGGCAACAGTGGCGTGCATGTCTTCGCGCCATTTTCACCAGATCTCATTGGCTGAAACTTGGCAAAAAGACTGCTATTATTGGCTGATTTGAATCTGAAAAACCGTTGACGAACTTGAATGAGTTCCTGGCGCGAGTAGACAAATCTATTTGATGGTGTCCAGGCCAACGTGCAGAATAGGCTTTTGATGAGCTGGTGATAATGTTGGAATCCACGAAACTGGATTCACGGTTAGTGTTTTCTTGAAACTTTAATTCTAACAAAGCTGTCAATAAAAATGCTTCCTACTTCATCTGTCCAAATTTTACTGTAAATACTTTTAGTGTAAATACCGCAAAGTGAACCGTAAGGACTAAAATTTTAAGAACATTTGTTATCTTCGTTTTATACCTCTAAAGTATGTACAGAAAGGAGCGTTTTTGACTGCCGAAGAGACTGGACCTGGAATTTGATAAATTGTGCTTAATAAAGGGGGCTAAAGCCTTCATAGTCTTTATTTCTCCTTCGTGTATATATCTACGCATATTACAAAGTTTATCTTAGCAAGAAATTCATTCGTATTGAACTGTTTTGAAGGGATCTTTTACAACGGACAAGAAGACACAGTAAAATGAACATCAAAAGAAACCTGTCAACCTACGTCCAAGGAGTCCTTGCCAAAAGACCTCGTGTCAGGCGAGTTTATTTTGTTTTCCTTAAATTTTTTTCACCTTGTTGATCAGAATTGATTTCTAGCTCTGTTGGACCAGTAAGCAATAGTTTTTGTGAAAAAAAAACAATAATAGTTTTATTATACCTTAAAGAAGAAATAAATTCAGCAAAGGGTGCAAATATTTGTAGTTGTTTCAATGTTTTTCTTTTCAAAGATGTATTTTCCGTGTAGAATATTTGGCTCTCTCTGTTTTCTAATTTAATTTCAAAAGTAAATAATTTCAAAAGTAATTTCAAATTTTTCAAATAGAAATGTTTAGATTACTAGTCGTCACTTAAAATGAATACAAAAATAGTTTTAAGTTGAATGCATATTGCAAGATATAATTTACAATTCGCCAATTCAAATAACCTGAACTAAATATGGTAGAATGTCATCCAAAACAGGACAGTATTCAGAAAAGCTGTGCAACAATTTAAAAAAGAAAGCAGCGGAATTATAAAAACAGGAGAGATATGGTACACCATGAAAAATCATTCTTAATGCAAACCTGTACTAAAATCAATGTCTTCCAAATCGAAGTGCTATTATTTCAAAGAACATGCAGATTTATTGGAATGATAA